GTCAAGACATTGATGTACTTAATAGTAGTAAGGCTACAGCTGGAATACTGTGCCAAATTCTAGTCGCCACACTATAGCAAAGATATGATTTCACTAGACAGCATACAGAAGAGATTTATCAAGATATTGCCTGGTCTACAACAAATCAGCTATGACACTCCTGCTCCTAGAGAAACTTTCATCTCTCTGCTACATGACATACTCCCATATTCTGCAGATGTAACACATCACCTGCCCTGCCATCTTTAATGTGTTTTGCTCAACTAATGAAAACACTTCATAAGTGGGGTAAAATAAAGTTAGGTCTTAGTTCAAACATTTCCTTCTATGACAATTCTTTATTGCTGGAGATTATGTATGTTCTTGAAAATGTAAGTAGATTTTTCACTCTTGAAAGTTAGTTGATGAAATATGGCAATACGCCAGTCAGCAACATAATTCTATTCCATGTGGTTTCAATAGCCAGGCAGTTCAGGTTAACTGCAAAATACTAACCGGAGTTTGAAACCAGCTCAATGTCGTTTCCCTCAAGAACAAGCTCGTCTTTCTGGGCCTGGGAAACAATACATGAAACACCTGATGCAAGGAGAAAGAAAAGGGAGTTACAATGAAGTATGTTCCTCCAAAAACATTTGCAGAAAATGCATAATGTTATCTTTACTTACCTGGCTTCATACGGACTCTACGAATATACTTCTCTCCGAGGAAGTTACGGATTTCTACTAGAGATCCCGAATCCTGAACAACCACATTAATGGGAAAGTGAGCATAGACGGATCTCATCTTGTAACGGAAGCCCTAATTTTGGAAAAATGGACAAAAAGACACATTGTACATTTTTAGCACAAAATTGTTGAAATGAAATGAGTTACAATTAACCAATGTTCAACATTAGTCAAGAATTCAGATTTTAATTGCTTGCCAGGAATTTAAAAATTGACCATTTGGTTTCAAAAAAAAAGACAATGATGCTCCATATTCAAGAAGCTCAACAAAATCTGCCACTTTAGTATGCAGTGAAGTTAAGGAACTCCTATACTTTATCAGAGCAAAACACTGCAGACGCATGAATATTAATCTCTTCTTTCTCTGCTGCATTTCAGTATCTTGCCTTTATGTGGATCTCATTTTTTTTGCCTTAAATGAGTAATAATTTCAGCCAAAAACATAACAAACCACCGACACAGACATCGAAGTAACTAAAGATGCAATGACTGCAGCTGCTGACACTTTACTCAAGGGCAAAAACAAAGTACTAACGATGGTGATCCACAACATGTCACTTAGTTCGTCCACAGTTGCAAGACAAATCAAATCTTCAGGTAGATGATATCTTTCAGCAACTATAGCAGGACCTGAAGGACAATGAATGTTTCTTTTGGTTGTTCAATTAATCCATTGACAAGGAAAATGCACACACTGAAATCAGACTGTCGCCCGAAGCTGGAGTTGAACCTGGGTCCCTGTTGCTGGATGCTACAGTGCTAACAAATGAGCCACTGCAACACTCCATAAAACAGCAACTGTCTGTGCGGAGTTTGCACATTCTCCTCGTGCCTCCATGGGTTTCCTCCAGGTGCTCCCATCTCCTCCCACAGCTCAAAGACGTGCACTTTAGGCGGATTGGCCATGCTAAAAATTGCCCATAGTGTCCGGGGATGTGGGAGCTAGGTGAGTTAGCCAAAGGAAATGCAGGGTTACAGGGATAGGGTAGTGGGAGGGTCAGCGTAGACTCGATGGGCCAAATGGCCTGCCTCCATACTGTAGGGATTCTAAGATTCATCACTTCTTTAAATCCTTACTGAATCTACGCTGCCTACAGTGAACTAACCTTCCACACTGATGTGAAGTAGTCAAGTTGAGGGAAGATCCTGCAAAGATTTAAGATTGATGCCTGAAATTGCCATTTTTCTTACATTACGGAATTAAATGTGCAGTGAATTGACAAACCAAGTGTGGTTCTTAATTTCCTGTTCCTTACAGACAGAACTTCAACACTAAACAAGCTGAACTCAAATGCAGGTAAAGAATAAACAGCATGTGATTGGTGCAGTAAATGCATTTAAGTTGAAACTTGGTCTGTGGTCCTCATAATTTAAAAAAATACACTGCAGAGTCTAGACAAAATACCAGAAAAATATAATCAAAGACAAAGAAAAACATAGCCATCCAGCAAAATTCTGTGTACACTTGAGAAAGCTTGCAGGGGAATTCAATATGATGGAAGAAATCATGTCTGTTTCAAATCCATTCCCTCAACCTGACACTGGCAGGATGGTTATTACAATTCATCAGTTGTTTGATTTACAAAGAAAAGAAGTTGACATGGAGATGATTACTATGCAAAGAGCTGAAAGTCAGATCAAGGGACAGATTTTTGAGAACGTGTAAGCAATCCTGCACTTTTAAAGTGAAAGCTTACTTTGGCTCCACATACCTCTCTGACTTAGTATTCTCCCCAATGAAAGTAATCAAGACCAGGTATCATTCCATCTCACAGACAGCCATCTTATGGACTGTAAAGAACTACCAGACTCAAACTACACCAGAGACTTCCAGGCACTGGCAGGTGATGGGCAGTCAAAGATGTCATGCAGATATGATGAGTAGAAAACAAAGTAATTAATTATATGTGCACTTGATTTTCAGATTTCTTACTGTACTGAAAAAACTGAATAAATTCTATGTTCTTAGTAGTAATCCTGAGTCACACTTAAATTAAAATGTGAACTTGTGCTGGCCTACGTGAACAAAATACGCCAGGAATACCACACAAATTCTCAATTTGTCATTGTATTTAAAATAAAACTGCTGCCCATGGAACAGTATTTCAACTAGAAACATGGATCTTTTGTGATGAAGTTAAAGACATGTTAAGGAAGCACAAGAGATCACCTACTCAAAGTTACTTACTAATGTGACACCCTTGATCATATTCTGTACATGACTGCAGATTGTCCGCACTGTGGCCAGCTCTTTTCTGTTACCCCACCATTTGTCAACTCGAAGCTAGGAAAAAGAGAAGGCAATGTTATTAATGATTAGTAAACATGAAAAATCAATAATATCTATACTATGTTGAGGAAGTGAATAATTTAACTACTGCAAACCCCAAAAAGGAGAAACTTAATTTAACAAGATGCGTTAAAGTTTCAGCAATAAGAAAACATACTTAGCAGCACTTACTAATTAACTGTGTCTGATGAATTATTGACTTTAATGAGCAACTTGCTTTCAAGACATTGTTATAAAACCATAGCCACAATAGAAGATACTGCTATGGAGTATACTAGTGTACTGAACTATGTTTAAACTTCCAGTCATAAATCACAACCGCAACTATATTTCTACAGAAGAGCACAGATAAAGATTCCACAGTGACGGTAATGCATGTTTTCTCATCAAGTTGCAAGTTCAGAAAAATGTTAAAAGATGTCTTTCAGCTGATGGTAACAGAGATCTGAAAATGTTCAGATTGTTAAAGCAGAGATTGCCGATATTGGAACTAACAGATTTCCAGGCTGAATTAATGTAAAATAACAATCTTATAAACACCAACCCCCATGTGTTACTGGCACATTGTGAAAACGTTCAAATTACAGGAACATTGTAGACACCTTTCCCAAAGTAGGCCCATAATTTTTAACCACATTAAACTGACTTGATATTGAACAGAGACACTCAAATTGACAAAACACAGATTCAGAAGTAAAACAGCAAGTTCACACTCACTGCAAATACGCTTGTCATGAGCCATTTAATATATTCATAGGTACAAATAAAGCATCCAATTGAGGAAGTTATGCTGGCTTCGACTTCTTCCAGCTGCTATCAAGGTCAAGTCACAGTAATCAATATTGCAGCATTTCAGACATTTAGTATGTCAGAACTGCACTGATTTAATGACTAACAAAAACATCAATGTGGAATGTTTGTGCACACCTGTTTTAAAAGCAGTAGTTTACCTACATCAAGTTCTGGGTCAAATATCCCTTCGCCAAACCACTTATGCTTCTCTCCATCTCACCTGTCAATCTCCCATTCTTCAGGCAGCCCCAAAGCAGCCTTTCCTTTCACTCAACTGCGCCAACATTTCATTCTAGTCAACTAGCCTTTTTGATATCAAATAACCTTAATTTCCACAATGTCCTTATTTTTCATCTATCAACCTTATTTCGTTTGCCATGCTTTTTCAAAGCGTATCTCAAAGCTCAAGAAGCCACACCTTCCATGAACATCATTTACTATTTATTACTTACATACAAACAGAAAGCAAACCAAATTAAATGTCTTTTGAATGACCTGACTGCAAAGAATTTAATAGATGGTTTTAACTCCAAGAAATCCAACCAATAGAAATGACAATTAGCCAAATGAGGACCCATGGAACCAACTGGTTATGGTTGCCATGCAATCAATTTTTAAATATAATGATCAGATTTTTAATAAAAAATGTATATTCTAACAGAGAGGCAAAACACATTCAAATGGTAGCATCTGAAAGCTTAGCCCAGCAACAGCACAATAAATGTGGAGTTGGAAAAGCACAGCCAGTCAGACAGCAGAAGAGCAGGAAATTAAGCATTTCGGGACAAAACATGGACTTTCCTGCTTCTTGGATGCTGTCTGACTGGCTGTGCTTTTCCAACTCCACATTTATTGTGCTGTTGCTGGGCTAAGCTTTTGGATGGGAGAGAGGTGGTGAGAAGTATGCATCTTCATCCTGCCACTCTTTGCTCGGCAACACTACCTACAGCCCTACAATTAACTATTTTGAGTCCTGCCCTGATTTGCCTTACCAAAGTGCAACATCTCACATTTATCCAAATTAAACTACATCTGCCATTCCTCGGCCCATTGGGTCATCTGAACAAAGTCCCAATGTACCGAGAATCTTATTCACTGTCCACGACACCACCCAGTTTGACATCACCTGCAAACTTACAACCATACCTCCTGTACTCACGTCCAAATCGTTTGTATAAATGACGAAAAGCAGCGGAGCCAGCATTGATCCTTGAGACACCCCACTGGTCACAGGTCTCCAGTACAAAAAGCAACCATGTACCACCACCCTCTGTCTCCGACCATGAAGTCAATTTTGTATCCAACTGGCTGGCTCCCCTTGAATCCCATGTTATCTAACCTTACTAACCAGTCTACCATGCAGAGCCTTGTCAAATGCTTTGCTGACGTCCACATAGAAAACACCTACCGCTCTGCCTTCAATCTTCTTTGTTACTCCTTCAAAAAAAAACTCAATCAAGCTAGTGAGGCACAATTTCCCTTGCACAAAGCCATGTTGACTATCCATAATCTGTCCTTGGCCTTTACAGGTGCACATAAATCCTGACCCTCACTGACTTTCGGCTCACCAGTCTATAGTTCCCTGGCTTTTCCTTCCAGCCTTTCTGAAGTAATGGCACCACATTAGCCAACCTCCAGTCTTCCAGCACTTCACCGAAGGCTGTCAATGATACCAATATCTTAGCAAGGGACCCAGACAATCTTTTCCCTAGCTTCCCACAATGTTCTGGGTAACACCTGTTCAGTGCCCAGGGATTTACCTACCTTTGTGTTTTAGACCTCTAGCACCACCTCTTCTCAAGACATCATTATTCATTTCCCCAAGTTGCCTAGCTTCAATGTCTTTCTCCACAGTAACACTGAAAAAAATAATTGTTTAGCATCTCTCCCATCTCCTGTGGATCCACACATCGATGGCCAAGTTGATCTAGGTGCCCTCTTCCCTCCCTAATTACTCTTTTGCCCTAATCTACTGACAGAATCTCTTTGGAATCTCCTTAACTCTATTTGCCAAAGCTACCTATGTCCCCCTTTCACCCGCTCGACCTCCCTCATAAGTATACTATGGGAGGCAATGGCTTAGTGGTATTATCACTGGACTATTGATCCAGCTAATATTCTGGGGACACGGGTTAAAAATCCTGCCATGGCAGATGGTGGAATTAAGAGTCTAATGAGGCCCATGAATCAATTATCAAAAAATCCATCTGGTTCATTAAAGTCCTTCAGGGAAGGAAACTGCCACCCTTACCCAGACTGGCCTACTTGTGACTCTGGACCCACAGCAGTGTGGTCGACTTCTAACTGCCTTCTGGGCAATTAGGGATAGGCAAGGAATGATGGCCTAGTCAATGATGCCCACATCCCATGAATGAATTAAAAGAAACAACTGCTCTTACACTCATCAAGGGAGTCACTCAGTCCCTACTGCCTATAACTACATGCCTTTTTTTTCCCCTTGAGCCTCAATTTCCCTCGTCATCCAGCATTCCCTACACCAACCTTGCCCTTTACACTAACAAGCACACACTGTCTCTGAACTCTCTCATTTTTAACTGCCTCCCCCTTCCCAACTACGCCTTTACCTGCAAATAGCTTCCCCCAATCAACTTTTGAAAGTTCCTGTCTAATACCATCAACATTGTCCTTAAACTAATTTAGAACTTTTAGATCAGTTCTATCCTTTTCCATAACTAGTTTAAAACTAAGAATTATGATCACTTGCCCCAAAGTGCTCCCCCATTGACACCTCAATCCCTTGGCCTGCCTTATTTCCCAACTGAAGGTCAGGTATGGTATGGTTCCTTCTCTGATAGGTACATCCACATATTGATTAAGGTGGTTTTTTTGGATACAATTAAAATTCCACCCCACTCAAGCCCTTTATATTATGATAGCCCCTAACTACAGCTATAATGTTAACCCAACCAAATTACTAGCAGTCATGCATCTTTCTCACTGTATCTACAGGGTCTCCATTTTCCTGAAACTGCCATTCACCGCACCCCCTCACTCAAACTCCTCATTGCCTCCAACTGCCACTCCAACAGATCCATGCAGTCTGATAGGGATTTGCAACCAAACACTTCCTGCAGTCTTCAGGAACATCTGACAGGAAAACCACATCATCCTGCTAAAAGCCATTTCTGATCCTTTAACAATCTACAGATCCAGAAGTTATCTAAAAAAAATACACACTTTGCTCAAAATCACAGCATTAGCACAGTCTGAAGAAGGGTCTAGGCCCGAAATGTCAGCTTTCCTGCTCCTCTGATGCTGCTTGGCCTGCTGTGTTCATCCAGCTCTACACCTTGTTATCTCAGATTCTCCAGCATCTGCAGTTCCTACTATCTCTGTTCAAAATCACTGTTCTGGGATAACTTAATACCAATCCTTAATATTAAAGTCAACCAAGAGACAGATCTCAGTATGAACACAAATACAAAAATGCCCTCACCTTAAAAATCAAGACTTAGCTGATCAAGCTCAAAAACCAAAGGTCACCCTCTTCTCCCATAGTTTCAGGCAGTGATTTTCATTTGAAGTCACTGATACCTCTGCATGCGGACGTGAAGCTGGATATTAGACCTTCCAGAGGAGGAATTTCTTGTCTCAAAGGTCAAGCGTTTTAGAAACTCCTTGCCACAGACTCCTTGCAGAGTCCTTGTGTATATTTAAAGGCAAGACAGATTCTTGAAAAGTAGGGGAATCAAGGGTTAGAGAAAATACAGGAATGGCAGAGCAAGCAAAGGACCGAACAGCTTACTCCTGTTCCAATTTCTTATGATCTTGAGGCTCCGAAACAGCAATGACAGGAATGACCAGTAGATTGGTTTAAATAGTTGAGTGATGGATAGATGTTTGCTTTCTAGGAGACTAGGACCAACTGCTCTTATTTTGGGATATGCCTCTTCAACCTGCGCAGCTTGATGAAACAACTGTTTAAGCTTTTGTGTGAAAACTAGTATCACCAAAACGCAGCAGTCCCAATGCCCCGAACAGTCACTGGATTATAAATTCACCATTGCTTGAATAGTCTTGAATTTACATGCTTCTTACTGTACAGTGCATACAATTAGTTAACTAAGTTATCACTGAAGTACACACATATCAAATCTACACTCAGGTCTTGGAAAAATAACTGGACCAACATTTTTAGCTAATGCTTCCACCAAAAGTTAACAGATGTTTAAAGTTCATTACCTTCTTTTTCTTCAAGCCAAGAAGGCTGAGCTCTAGGTTAATGTGATTAAATTCTCTGCGCAATGTTCCTCGAGGCCCTTTTACAATGACTGTACGGCCTTTCAAAATCACATCGACTGTAAACAGATAATAATCGTTACAGCACAAGATATAACAATTGGTTATAAATAGAAAACCAAACTAAAGTTAGATACTGTACCATTGTCAGGAATGTCAACAACCTGGTTGCTGAGAATGGTCTTCATTCTGAGAAGCAAATAAAAATTGTTTAAGACAACATAAAAAAGCAATACAACAGCATTATTTACAAAAATAACTTCCAAATCAATAACAGTCAGCTGTAACGAGCATCACATGGAAGTGTAGCCCGAAACATCAGCTTCCCTGCTCAGCCTGCTGTGTTCATCCAGCTCTACACCTTGTTATCTCATCACATGGAAGTGTATCCTTAGAAAGTTTTAACTTGAGAGTGTGGTACTGGGAACACTGCATTGTGCTGAAATGCTTTTTGAATCACACAATAAGACACTATGTATATCATATCTTTTATAAATTCAGGATGTCACAAAGCATTTTACAGTCAATGAAGCATGCTTTGGAAAGCAATCCTCTTTGAAAGTCATTGTCATAATGTAGGAAACACAGCACCCCATTTGCACACAGCAAGGAATCTGAAACAAACTTGCAAAGTTACCAGATAGTCTGTTCTTGAGATGTCTGATGAGGGAATAACATTGTCTAGGGCACCAGGAATAAATGTTCAACTCCTTAAAATTAATGTCAGAGGATGTTACTTCTGACTGACAGAGAAGATAGGATTGGAATGTTAAACTTCATTCAAGAGAAAGTACCTCCAATAATACAGCCTTGATTGTTTACACTGGATTCAGGCCCCATGTGCGTTCACAGCTAAATATGATCTATAAAAACCAAAAGAACCGTGGATGCTCTAAATCAGAAACAAAAACAGAAATTGCTGGAAGGCTACACGGTGGCTCAGTCGTTAGCACCGCTGCCTCACAGCGCCGGGGGCCTGGGTTTGATTCCAGCCTCAGGAGACTGTGTAGAGTTTGCACATTCTCCCAGTGTCTGAGTGAGTTTCCTCCAGGTGCTCCGGTTTCCTCCCACAGTCCAAAGATGTGCAGGGTAGGTGAACTGGCCATGCTAAATTCCCCATAATGCCCAGGCATGTTTAGGTTAGGTGGGTTAGACATGGAAATACAGGGGTAGGGGAATGGGTCTGGATGGGATGCTCTTCAGAGGGGAGATGTGGACTTGTTGGGCCAAATGGCCTGTTTCCATACTGTAGGGATTCTATGAGCTCAGCAGGTCTGAGGAACTGAGCTCTGAGGAAGGGTCATTCAATTCACAATGTTAAGTCTGATTTCTCTCCACAGATGCTACCAGACCTGCTGAGCTTTCAGACATAGGAACAAAAACAAAAGTTGCTGGAAAAGCTCAGCAGGCCTAGCAGCATCTGTGAAGAAAAATCACAGTTAACATTTCAGCTCTGGTGACCCTTCCGGAGAACAAAGCTTTTAGACATGATCAATACTATGGTATGACTGGAATAAAAAGGTTTACATTGTTTCTTGGCCAAAATTTACTTCAATATCAATACCAGGTCCTTTTTTAGTCTTTAGGAACACTGCGCATTATTTGGCTGCTGTATTATTTACATTACTACAAATGACCACACTTCACGACAGCCAACTGACACTAGACCAGGTGCATAACTGAAAAAAAAATCGCAATTTAGCATAAGGCTGAAAGTTAAGAGGTTGACTTTTCAGATAGATTGGCTGATACTGATCAAATCTGTTTTCAATTAGAATTTCTGAAAAGGATGAAACTCGAAGATTTGAAGGTTCAAGTGGAAGACACAGGCTGTATTAATGTCAGTGGAAAGTGGCAACAGTGGCTGCGAAGAAGTCTCGGCCACTTGCAGTCAGCATCTACACCTTCCTTCTTAAGTGGCACCAGAGTTCCATTTGGCTCCGAGAGCTGTTCGGGCTCTTCACTATCTAGTGACTGAAATTCGGTTCCAGTGCAGCCGGTCTGACACCCGCACAATATCAGTCCCCTGAGTGACATGGTCTTCAAACCGGAACGCAGTCAACTCTTCGTCCCTAGGCCTGACGCGCAGGCTCGGTCAACAAGAGACGCACCAAGTTAAGCCTCATCCGCCACAAAAACTCAGACAATATCACCCTGAGCCGCCGCACAAAGTTGTCCCCTTTATTTTAAGGCTAAACTCAGCCCCACAGATACACAGAGACAGCCGATGAGGACCGATTCCCCCGGAGTTGATTAACTCCCGATATCTCACCTCACTCAAGATGGAGGAAAGGAAGGTACAGTCCCGTCTGCCGGCAGTTGTAGAGAAACGTGCGGCGTCACCATGAAACGTCAGCACGCACAGCCGCGGCCAAGACAAACTCTTCCGGTAGATTAGTACCTCCGGAACCAGATCATCCCCAATGGACTACAGTCCACATTCAGCCTTCCCAATTTGGCCCCAGCCGTGACAATGTCTACATTCATAGCATTGAGATCCTTCAGAAGCGTTTCTCCCTGCGACTCCTGAAACAAAAGCATTTCTGATGAAGAGTCTAGGCCCGAAACGTCAGCCTTCCGGCTCCTACGATGCTGCTTGGCCTGCTGTGTTCATCCAGCTCTACACCTTGTTATCTCTTCCGGTAGATTTCCCTCTTTCCTTCCATTCATTGCTCAACCCACTGGAGTGGGTATACTATACTAATTGATAGTTTCATTTCATGAATTCCTTCTGTTATTTTACTTGTGCATTTAAATGAAAACATCTTCCTTTGATTCAGTTCATTTGACATGAATAAATTGGCTGTAAGGAATGGATAGAAATTCATTTATTTCTATAATTAAAATTGCTCACCGGACATGTAAAGCGGCTAAGGTAAATATTCATAAAATTGTAAAGATACAATGCACCTGTGAAATCCAATGAAAAAGAAAGACTTCAATTTACAAAACAGAAATGCACAACCGAAGTGTAACTAACATTATTAAATGTGAATCTTCCATCTCAAATCCTTAATGAAATGCTCAGTTCAATGGCAACTAATGACCTTTTCCTCAACTGCAAGATATACGTATACATGCCCTATGAAAGGATGTGGAATTTCATCATCAACCTTACTTGTATTGTTTACAACATTATGTTGAACCGGTTATATTTAGAAAAGTCAATTAGTGTATGCAAAGGATGGAAAATTGCTGTCAAACAATTACTTTTCCACATAATTCTCTTCATATCAATTAAAGATAGTGCTACATGTCAGGGTTGGATCAGCAGAACTTAATACTCACAGCAAAATCCTATAACATTCAGCTGGTTATGATTTAATATGGTGGTTTATATTTTGGCAATGACAAATAATCTTAGAATTCCTACAGTTTGGAAGCAGGCCATTCGGCCCATTGGGTCCACACTAACCCGCAACAGCATCCTATCCAAATCCATCCCCCTACCATATCCCTGTAAAACTGCATTTCCCGAGGCTAACCTACCCAACTACCACATCCCTAGACGCTAGGGGCAATTTAGCACAGCCTATCCACCTAACCTGCTCATCTTTGGACTGTGGGAGGAAACCCACGCAGACATGGGGAGAATGTGCAAATTTCATGCAGACAGTTCTTTACACTGATGAGCCAACAATAAACATCAATCCTTAACAAGCCGCCCTTGCCAAATTTTGGGTCCAGGTTCATAAATGAAGCCTGCCGTAATTTCAAAAATATGATTTCTTAGTTTTTATTGGATACTCAAGCATTTGTGATATGCTTGTTGGTTACGATAATTAACCTCACAAGGTGGATGAGTTGTGATAAGACATAAAGAATCAAAGCTGGAGAAACTGAAGATGAATTGTGCAAACAGAAACAGCAAAAAATGACAATTAACTTTTCTACAGCACCCCACAAGAAGAAAGGGAAATCTATAGACAATCAGAAGAGTAAATACCAGTAGGATGGTGAAAGTGAACTAAAGGTTGATAAGGAAAAAGACAAAATTGCTGAGAAGTAAGTGTCACAGTGAGGAAGAAAAATGGCTGAAAATGCACCTAACAATGGCGCCACTTAAAGAGCATCATTAAAGTGACACATGTGTAAAGTGGAATTTTTTGGAAGAGGAAAGGATGCATGCTTGTGTTTGTTCAGTTAACAATTTGTTTCAAATGGATATCAAACCAGAAAGTCATGATTTCCTTAGTTATAGAGTCACAGAGTTATATACCATGGAGAAAGACCCTTCAGTCCAACTTGTTCTCGCTGACTAGATGTCCTAAACTGATCTAGTCCCATTTGCCAGCATTTGACCCATATCCTGCTAAACCCTTCCTATTCATATACCCATCCAGATGCCTTTCAAATGTTGTAATTGTACCAGCCTCCACCATTCCTCTGGCAACTTGTTTCATACACGCACTGCCCTCTGCATGAAAATGGTGTTCCTCAGGTCCCTTTTAAATCTTTCCCCTCTCACTTTAAACCTGTGCCCGCTAGTTTTGGATTTACCTACCCTGGGAAAAAAAGACCTTGGCTAATCACCCTATCCATATCCCTCATGATTTTATAAACCTGTATAGGTTCAGCCTCCGACGCTCAGGGGAAATAGCCTCAGCCTATTCAGCCTCTCCCTATAACTCAACTGCTCCAATCCCAGCAACATCCTTGTAAATCTTTTCTGAACCCTTTCAAGTTTAACAACATCTTTTATTTATATTGCTCCATTTAGTACAGTCTACTACATCCATTTACTTATTTATAGTTTTTTTCTTGTCTATGAATATCATGGAATCCCTTCAGTATAAGTAGTGGCCATTCGGCCCATCGAGTGCACCGACCTTCCGAAGGGCGTCCCACCCAGAGCCACTTCCCCACACTATTCCCGTAACCCGCATTAACACCCCAGCCTACACATCCCTGGATATTATCTTGGTTTATCGTGGATGAATTCATTAGCCAATGAATGCCACGTAACTTTTTTTTAAACGTTTGTGTTTTTAATACTCTCGATACTGTCGGCTGCATTCCAAGATAACTCCTCTACGAACGTGAAAGATGAAAATAAACTCCTTCTTAATGTGAGACAACAAGGTGCAGATTCTTAATGTATTTGCCTGCACGTAAAACATTTAAGAAGATGCCGTAACTGTAATTAACTAACAAAAGATGATCACATTATGTTATATAAGCAGTTATACAACGCAATGTCCAAACGCAAGCTAGTCAGCCAAATCCCATGACACAGCAGCTCTGGCTGCTGCTCCCCGTTCAGGCCAGAGGGCGCCGCTGTCGCCGGAGGCGCAGCTGGCTGGTGCTGAGGAGGCCGGGTGGGTTGGGGGGGGCGCTAATAGGTGTGTTTTATTGAGACAGAGGCCGACATGAAGCTGCTGCAGGCGGGCCGTTGCTCGGCTGCTGGTCTACGGCTGTGTCAGGTAAGTGAGACTGGGGCTGTTATAGTCACGGGGGGGGCGGTGAGATTGATTGGATCAGTGCGAGAGACAAGCGTGTTGAAATTGAAGCTGGGTTTGTGGCAATGCCTTTGTAAACTATGATTCAGAAACATAACCGAGTACCGCTGAGGTCAGACATTGATCTTTCACTTGGTTATTTTGTTAGGTTCTTTTTCTGGTTGCAGTGTCAAGGAAGATAAAAGTTAAGACATGAGGAGAGACATTGCCCCTAATGGCTGGGCAGTCGTTATTCTAGAGCAGAGATAGTAGGAACTGCAGATGCTGGAGAATTTGAGATAACAAGGTATAGAGCTGGATGAACACAAGCAGCATCAGAGGGGCAGGAAAGCTTTCCTGCACCTCTGATGCTGCTTTCATCCACCTCTACACCTTGTTATTCCAGAGCATTTGGGTGTCGCAAACACAGGGAGCTGCGGAATCTCCATCGCAGACTCCGAAGGATTTGCCCGAGAATTTAGTGCCTTCTGAAAATCAGAAGCTTCGGGTATTTCCGAGGGGATTAAGTAAAACAGTTTCTCAGGAAAAGTTAGACTATTAAATAGTCTCACTCCAGATAAAACAGGAAATTTATATTCAGAACTCTTTCCGCCCCATCCCGCACTACTAGACATTCCCCAGACATTCCAAGATTCTGATCTGACACCCTGGGACCCAGATCATGTTTAACTCATTTATTGGACTTTTTT